GCTGTACCCTGGGAGAAAAAAATAAAAATAAATATTTAATTAGTAACCTGTTCACCCATTCAATATAATACTTGGCGTCTAAGCAGGATTTTCACAGTGCTTCTGGGCAGTCACATGATTCTGTGCTGTATAACCTACAATAGGGGGCGGAGCTTCTTATTTTGCCTAAACCCCTCCCAACCGGAAAAAAGAAAAAGAAAGATGAGACTGTCAGAGGTGCGGACGCTTGCCAAGCTGATACAGGTGGAGGTATCACCCAATCCTCATCTGATATTGCCACCCCCCCCACCCCAAATAAAGCCTCGGGGGGGATGTCCATTAACCCCCCACCTGCCGTGTATTCTGGGAATAGATTGAAGTACCTGACGCCCACGGTCGGCCAGCTGGCAGGGCGTCCCAGGGGCGCTGTGCCCTCACATCACGCCTCCATAAATAAACGCCAGTTATAAATATGGCGTCCTGCGGGAATTCGCCACCCTGGATGAGCTTCCCAGTGGGATTAACCCCGGAGCCGCTGAAGGAGAAGGGACAAGAGCCTAGCGAAATACTGAACGCGGTCCCCTCAATACCCTCATTGTACACTAGGAAACGTGTGCCCGCTCTCCAAGAATGGTGTGGTCATGTGGGGGTTAATGCGCACACACTGAAGAGCAATTGGCAAAGGGTTAAAGGATAATTTCACGTATGGTTGCGATCGCCGGGAGAGGCGTCAATATATCTGAAAGATACGGGGGCGGGGGGTTGGGCTATGGTGACTGAAAAGGACGCCACTCGTAGCATGTTGCAGAGAAGGACCGTTGCTCTCTAGGTGGAAGCAGTGGTCTCTCTGCATCACTGCTTCCACACACTGAGAGCTAGCATTGTCCAATCAGCAAGGAGCATGGGCTTGGATAATAACAGCGCTCTGACTCAGCAGGGGGGCTTGCCAGACCCCTGTAGAGAGGCTGCTGCTTCCACAAGAGAGCAAGGGTCCTCTGCAGCTTGCCGGCAGGAGCTGGCCCTTCTGCTCCATTTCAAAGAGACCCGCAGGGCTCTGCACATCGTCTGTTTTCATACAACTGATAATGTATTCAGATTATTTTAACTGAAAAGTATCATTCCCATACTGTAAAGGGTTAATGCTCGCAGACCGCAGAGGGGATTATGTAAACACTCACCGGTTTTCGGGTCATGCAGCCGGGCGGAGCGGGGCACCCCGGGTGAGAGACGGGTCTCCGGTAACGGGCGGCTCCGCTCTGCTCACACATGTACGGCGGGTGTCCATAGTCACCGTCTGTTAGTAAACCATCTCTTTCCAAGACCCAACATGGCGGGCACGGCTTCCCCACCCGCTCTGCGCATGCCTAGAAGCGTTCAGTAGACAACGCGCCTGCTCACAGATTAGGCTAAACCATCGGAGGAGAAGCGCGGGGAGGGGGGTGGAGATATTCACTGACAGACTGTGAGAGTGGAAAAAAGTTAGGGGGTCTCAGAGGCTTTCAAGAACTGTCATAATAAAGCCAGCTCAAAAGATCTTATCAGAACACCGGCATTGCCTGTCCTCCCTCCCTTCACTGCGATGGTACCGTCCGGGGCTGCCCCCCTGAGTACCGCTCTGTTTATACATTTATCACTCTTATAAAGAATGATGGCGTGTGTCACTATAAATTATAGTGATTACTGATTGTCATTCTCCTCAGAGGTCACTGATTTATAGACAGGTCAGGGGTCAATAATTATATATACAGGTGGGTTAGAGGTCTATATATAGAGGTCACTAATCTATATTTACAGAGGGTTCAGAGGTCACTAATCTACATACAGACAGGGCAGAGGTAAAAGATTCACCGGTCTACATATGGAGGGGTCATAGGTCAGAGATCACTAACCTAAATACAGGTCAGAGGTCAAATAGGTTCACTGGTCTACATATAGAGGGTTCAGAGCTCACCAATCTATATGAAGAAGGGTCAGAAATAACTGATCCAAAAACAGTGGGGTCAGAGGTCCCAGGTCTATATGCAGGGGGATCAGAGGTCACTGGTTTATATACAGGGGTGGTCAAAGCGCGCACAAGATCACTGATCTATATACAGAGGGGTCAGAGGTCACTGCTCTAAATATAAAAGGGGAAGGGGTCCCTGCTTTCAGAGATCACTGGTCTATAAACACAGAGGTTACTGCTATATATATATATTATATATATATATATACATACATACATACAGGTGAAACTTGAATAATTAGAATA